CTGGGGTTGGTCTGGTGATTGGGGGATGGCTCTTATAATTCTTTCTATTGTTAGGTTTAGAGTTTGAATTCTGAGTTGACAATTAAGGATAGGAAGGGTGTGGGGGAGGAATGAAAGTTTAAGGGGAGAAGGAATAAGTCTATGACATTATAGCTCTAAACTCCAAATTTCATGCTGAGCATGATATTGCATGATTTTGGTCACGGATTAGCCAAAAGTGGGCGGAGAGCCATCAATTGGCTGATAGTCGTGGTGGCTACTCCACTCATTCCTCCTAGTGTAAACAAATTACAAAATATTGCTGTTATGTTGGATAAATTGAGGCAATACTTCAGGCTAGAATCACAATTTAAACCATATCCACGACACTTAAAAAGACTAGATGGCTAAATTCACTGTTCCCAATTGCCTAACTTTTTACAGTAGAAATTTAAAGTAAATAATGCATCTTCCTTGACAATTTTTCCCTGAATTCTTGTTGCAACTTGGATGATTGGAGTAAAGGACCGGCAGATCGGAGAAAGCAGGGAAAAAGCGAACGAGATAAGAACAAAAGAAACATAGGGTTTGTGTAGGGAAATGTTAATGGCACTTCACTTTTTATTAATTGCACTCTCATTATTATTTTATCATATAATTTTTATTTATTAGACTATATAATAAACAAATGATGGGAGAGCGATTACCAAAAAGTGAGATGCAATTACCAAAAAGTGAGATGCGATTAATATTTCAATTTATAGATTTATAGATATATTTGTCTTGTGGTAGAGGACGTGTTTAGGGAGGCAAATGCAACAGCGGATTGGTTGGCTACTTCGAGGACGGCTTCTCAACATTTATTTATGTCATTAGCAGATTCGCCTAGACAATGTAAAGTGCTAGTTAAGTTAGATGCTCAAGGACTTTTAAATTTTAGAACAATTTCTGTAAGAGAGTAAGTACTCCCTATTTCTAGTTTTTTCCATGTATTGGAGGTTTTGATTTGGTCCCCTCCATTTGTTTATTTATCTTGACGTTAATAAAATCTGGTTGGCATCCCTCCCCATGTACGAGTTTGCCAAACAAAAAAAAAAAAACATTAGAAATGTGTATGTCTGTACGTAATTTAACCAATTGACTTGTTGGAATAGTAACTAATTTACCCAATGTCTTCACCAGCTCTCTGCTTGGACCAGGTCTGATTAAACCTTCTAACTTGCCCATCCTACTAATCAATTTTTCATTTTATTTCCCTTTCACAATTAAGTATGACAATTTAATTTAACTAGACAGAGACTTTTTTGTGGGAATAGTTAGAGGTCTAGTGTGATTCTCTCTCCCTCTCTCTCTATCTTTCACATTTTGTTGGCAAGACAAAGAACTATTATTAGTTATTTTATTTTCTTAGACTACTTTTACTAGTCAATACGTGTGGCAACAACAGTGGCACACAAGGACGAGAATAATAGTGCAAACTTTTTGGATCAAACAAAAGAATTTTCAGTTTTTAACTTAGGATGACAGAGACTCGGATACTCTTAAAAAATCTCTCTTATCAAATCTTAACATGTATAGCCAAGTATTTTATGAAATTCTATCGAGTAACCATACCGATTTTAATTCTCATTACCAAATCTTCTTACTCATGGGCTTAGGTTACTGATCCGATACCCTCTACCCACTAAATTAAATAGTACAAAAAAGAAAAATTAACTTTTATTAAGCTAAAATCAATATATACATCATATTGAATTAACACTAGAGCTTGCATGAGAAATATCCAACATTTAATGAAGGATTAAATCAATATTCTTCTATTTTTAATCATGACTATCTTTATTTGTGTTGGATTAGATTTATATATTATTGGGTCATAAAATTAACGTGTTATTGGACTATTAGATTGGAAATTAGGAATACATACTATATATATATATATATATATATATGGGGTATCAGGATTTTAGGATTTTTTTTATCAAATTCTATCGGATTACCCATTGATAACTCCTCATCAATACCAATCCTGACGGATAACCCATCGGTTGTATAATTGAATTAACAATCGGATTGAATACCCGTGTGTATCGGATTTTATCCTACACATCGTCATCTCTATTTACAGTAAAAAGCCAATTATCATACACTTTTGCATAACTATATGAATTCAATTTGGCGCATCCCACCACACAGGCCGGCGATTGATTTAATCATCATTTCCTATTATGTGATCCTCTTTTAGTAATTAGATTATTAATTATTATCTTAACTCCCAAATTTCAAGAACATAATATTAGTAGTGTTGTCAATTGTGAAATTAGAAATAAATATGGGTGATGGTAGATAAAAAGGGTTGAAATCCGAAAGACTCAATCATCCCCAACAAATGAAACTGATTATTTGGATAGGGTATTATTTGAAATATTATTTGGAATAATTACTGTAGTACTTTTTGTGATGTGATGTATGTGAGATAAAAAGGTGGTTGAGAATATAAAAATGTGAGTTGGAAAATGTGTTTATGATGCAAGCGAAATATTATTTGAAATACTTGTTTGGATAGAGTATTATTTGAAATATTATTTGAAATAATTACTATAGCACTTTTTGTGATACGATATATGTGAGATAAAAAGGTGGTTGAAAATATAAAAAGACGGGTTGAAAAATATGTTTATAATGTAAATAAAATATTATTTGGGATAAATTTACTATCCAAACACTCATGTCTTTTTTTTTCCCCCGAAACAGTAGAATAACAGAAATCATGTCAAGTGCTGCGCCTAAAAACATCATGCAAATAGGAGAAAATTCCTTTTTGACTACTGAATTTTAAACTATATATATGTATTTTTTTTTTTTGTCAAAGCCTTTCGTAAGGCTTTTGTGACTTTACAAACCTAAACCCCGAGAAAAAATCAGAAGCAGGCAACTCTTGAGGTTCCTCAGGAGACTTATAAACCCACCCAAATCCCCTCCTAGCCCCGATGTGGGATAACCACCTAAAGGGGGCAGCTGTTACTAAGACCTAAAGAGACCCCACTAACCCCGGTCCAGGCGATTTTAAACTATATATATGTATGCGTGATAAAGTTTGAGTAGAATTCGGTAGTGAACTAAACGTGGCATCTTTAATCGGCATGTAAAAGTTGGGTATTCTCCAACTACAAGACCGTTTAAAAGAGATTATTTATTAATTTGTTAGAATATGATCACATAATAGGACTGTTCCACAAAGAATTGATGATGTAAAAGTTTCAAAGTGGAAATTGCAGCAAAAAACACATCTGACAAAAATCAAAAGAAAGAAAATCCCTATGGAGAAATCTAATTCAAAGGCAAAAAGAAAAATAAGATCTGAATTAATGGTAGAAATTACATTGATCTGTTTCTGTCATTAATTTGTGATCTGTCAATGCAAATTAGTAAGTAGATAATTACATGAGTAAACCTATTTCTGAAATTAATGTTTGATCTGTTGTATCTCTACGGAGCAATTCTTCCACCTATTCCGGAAGCAAATTATCTACTTCTCACGTTTGGCGAATAGCCGGAACATTGAGGAATACCCGGAAAGGCATTTTTGAGAATCGGTCTGATTCTATCACTTTCCAAAATGTTCAAAGACCATAAGAAAAAGCAAGAACTAGAACGGACGAAACCAAAACAGGGAATCGGTCTGGTTCTGGAGGTAGTTTTGATGAAATGCAGATGAAAACACTAATGGTCCTTGCTTTGTCTATAGTAAAGTAGATCATAAGGACAAGAGCAGAAGGGGATTCACACCCCAAACTCTAAGAACTTCAACTGCCAATGATTAATCTGGATAACAACAGGAAAGCTGGACTATGTGGAAGTGCTGCATAAGTTGTAACCAGCCCTTCAACACATTCATATTCTGCTTAAACCCTACTGACGGTCCCATAGCTTATGAAGTGAATCAGAGATTAACCTGGAATCTGCCTCAATGAGAAGACTTGTCTTGAGTTCTAGTAACATACATGAAGACCCTCGCTTATAGCAAGAAGTTAAGCACAATTAAGAACAATTTCCATCATTCTTAGCAAAAGCAAACTTGTTGAGTTTTACAATCCCCCACATGGTTGGAATCTATGTGCACACATGTTGAAATTGAACTCACTTTGCCCTTCTGAAGTTATCAATATGGAACTGCAGAAACTTGGATCACATTCACACCTGTAACACTATATTCAAGAAAAGGAGATAAAGTTTAAGTGAGTTTCAGCTTGCAAAGCTTTGGTCCAAAATCCTTGAAGGCAAAAGCTAGTGATAGAGGAAAGGGCAGGCCGGTGCTTTATATGGTTTCCGGCACCCCAGGGGCAAGTGGCAAATGTAAGAAAAGCTCAAAGACAGAGAAACAGCTACTTGCAAGCACGAACGGGTAGAAGATGCAAGAGAAAACATTTTCTCTCTGTGGAAGGCTTAATTGCGATGTCCTCCTTCAATTGAATGTAGGCAGGGTGGAAGGACTATGCTCAGTAACAGTAGCAATCATCAGCACCATGTCTCTAGAAGAAGACATGCTCCATGTCATGTACTGGACAAGGACAACTCCTGATTATCATAATGATACTCTGCTTCAACCTCAGATAGTTTCGAGTTATGAATGGTGCAAGTTACTCAGACCTTTGTATTGAAGAACTCTAAAGGTGCAGGCTGAGTAGCCAACTGAACAAAAGGCTAAAGGAACAGGCTTGAGCATCCAACTGAACAAGAGTACCTGAGCGGCACCAACAGGTTCCAAAATGCAACACTCCATTGAACCCCATACTGCAGGTCAAAAATTGCCTTCCAAATGACTTTAAAAGCCAGGAAGTCTTAGTATTACAGCCTGCCAAGAATATGTTTTCCTAGAAGTACTTGTGCTTCCACCGTCATATTTACGTAAATCACCAACTCCTCATAAATCCAAACTGCAGGCCAGCAGCCAAACTAGTACTATTCAGTATCCTTTCCACTGTTATATGTACCCCTATTAATGTTTAGAGGAAGTAATATAAAGCAGGAGAATAAGTTACTCTTCATGGAAATTTTACTTATAAAGGTAGAGTAACTGTTCATAGCAAAAAAATGGAAAAAGGTAACCTCTGAGGTCACTATGAGTTGAAACTGCATCTACAATTTATTGGTTCAATAGGAAAAAAATTGGATAACTGCAACGACAAAAAGGGTTACGTTCTACAATCATTTCCAGAAGCCGGAACTTTCCATTCTAAACAAGCACTCTTTCCTGAGAGGTGAATCAGTGAAAATGGCCCTGATGAAGTCTTCCACCTATAAAAGTCATGTTAGTTAAGAAACAGTGAGTGATTTAATTTCATTCATAGAAATCCATCAACATTTAAGCAAAGTAAAGAAAATTGAATAAGGCTGATGCACCCTAGAATGGAATTATTCCAAATGTCAAAGTTAAGGTTGGCAATATTACCACAGCAATTTTCTGACTTGGAAAAGTTTGCCCATCATTAGCCAATGTTTGTTAATTCATATAACACTCAAGGGCAATAAACAAACTTTATCCCCCACAACCTCCAAAGTCTCTCGTTTGATTAATTTGCCACCTAAAACCATGAAATTTCGCAATGGCAACCACCCCTTCCTCTTCCTTTTCCTCTTTATTCTTTCCCCAGTGCCACTACTAGTCAACAAACCAAGCTGCTCAGAAGCATCTTGGTCAAATGCTCACTCACACTCAGTCAAACACGAGTCTAAGCATGCTCGTTGAGGTAACGAGCCAAACTCAAGCTTGTTAGAATGCACATCAAGCAACTCAATATTGTCTGTGAAATATATTTACATATACAACCATATACATTATACATACATGCATAACCATATACATCTATATACACACACATCCATACATATATGTATATACACTATATATGTGTATATATATGTGGGTGCTTATATGATATTCATACATATATGTAACATTACTAATATGTCTGTTCCTTCGGGACAAATTACATCTTTTTTCTCGAGTTCAAGCTCGAACTCATCTTCAGTAACAGCTCGAGCTCGATCAATTGTCTGCCTCTCAAGAGAGCATGAGCCAAGCTTGAACGCACCGTCCATAAGACAAGTCGATCACAAAATCTGATTTTGATGCTCGATTGAGCTCGAGCTCAAGTAGAACTATTTCTCACGAGTCGTAATTGGCTCATTTACAACTCAACTTCACCCTCACAACTCTGTTAGCTTTCTCTTCCATCTTCTCTCTCCAAAAGCCCGCATCTCTTCGATCTTCTCTCTCCAAAAGCCCGCACCCCAAATGTGGACGCCGAGCACTCTCAACCACAAATTTATTCCCCAACACCCTCATCCAATCAAACCCTGATATTTAAAACCAATGGTGTTTCTCTCTCTCCTTATATGAAGGCAAGGAATGGGAGGATAAGCTAGTTGCTGGGCATATGTTCTATTAAAGTGTACTTCTGCCCCAAAAAAAGGAAAATATAATTTGGTGATGATTTAGGACTTAAAAATATGTGAAGTTAGTCACACAGTATGAATTAGATTTTTTTCTTTTTAAACCTCTTATCCTCTTTATTTTATTCATCATGTTTGTGAAATGAGGATATCAACCATTTTTGTATACTCTTTTCACATGTTTTACTTATGTGAAGCACCACAGAGAGGGCAAAAAAAGAAGAATATTTGATCGATGTAATGGTAGTGATGGCATGCTAGAGATGAAGTGCAAATTTTGGACATTTGGAAGTGGAACTAAGACTTGGTGCACAACTGGAAAGAAATAAAGGGGTTTCTCCTTTTTGTTCGTATAAAAGAAACAAACGCAAGAGTTGGATGGCAGTAGACAGGGCCACTGATGTGAGCTCAGAGTATTTTTACGCAACCAGACTACAAATTTGCAATAAGTATTTAGTTAAATAAATAAACATGGAAAACTTGTCCTTAAATAATACATTTGCTCTGGCAGCTAATTTTGGCTGTAGCAGCATCGCCACCCGAGTGGTAAAGATTGTTTAGAGTTTAGTAAGAAGTAAAAAGTGTCTTCTTTCACAAAGACATTTATGTACGAAGTGTTCAATTCTTTGAGAATCATTTCAACTAAACACAGAAAAGAAAGAAAATGTATCAAATGTCATTGCGTGTTATTTTACCTCTGTCATTGTAAATCCACAACTGACTAGTTCACCACTCTCCCAGGCTGCAGTAATGGACTTCAAAGGCATGTCCAGAAGATCTGACAAATTACAAGATGTTAAGCAAAAAATCGAAAAGCCAACTTCCTTTAAACTGTGGATCAGTGTCTTCAAACATTCACATGCAAAGCACAGAAAAGAATATGATACCTTCCAATTTGTGTAACTTTTGAAGGGATGGAATAAGATCATTAACTGAGACTACTTGGCTTTGTTCTGAACTCCTTGTCTGCTTGATGTCCAATAGTGATGCTAATATAGATGACAGGTTCTCAAAAAGCAAATGAACCAGTCTTTGAAGCTTCAAACAATCAGAAATGAGGTTAATTACATAAAATCTAATTTCTTTCAACTAAAATTTCAAAAGCAGATCAACATTGTACCTGTAAAGTTTCTTCTGCCGCCATGTCATCTAAAAGAAGAATGTCTTTTGTAATTCTTGAGAAAACTACCTCCAGAACCATGCACATACTCCTTTTGTAGATTGAAGGCATTAACAGAGGCTCCCATATGATGTGTACTTTCTCAAGTATAAATGCAACCTAAACAAGAAACGGTCAAAGCTACTTCATAGCAAAGACAGAATACTGGATTTCTAAGTCAGAATTTCCCTCATCCATCAAGATTACCTGGTCAATGCTAAATTTAGCAGACTCGTATTGCTTTGTTAGGTGGGTGTTTTGAAACCCACCAGCACCATCAATAGCCTACAAACTCAAAACATTTTAGTATAGCTCTAAAAGGAACATGTACAGACCTCATTCAGAAGCAATGTTGTGTTTCAGCCATACCTGCTCTAAGTTGAAAATAACAACTTGAATTTGTCTCTGCAATATTTCTTCTGCTATCAGCTGGAATCGTGGAGCCAAATCAGCAAAGACAGCCATTTCCTTGATAGGATTTGGAAAGTCTGGACGATACTGAAAAATTAAAATTACATGAACAAAAATTATAACTAAATTGCAATTAAAGTATAAGCTCAAGTAGTTTATTGAAAAGAACAGCAATCAATCTTCAGTCAGAAGCACAAAACCTATAAATCATGATCATGTCAGAACAGACGTCACAAGCAAAGCAAGTATTCACCTAACAAATGATACTCTGGACAAAGAATTGTTCTACAGTAAGGTGCAATAATACAATTAACAGAAATAGTTTTAGTCACGAAGTTCCTTGAGCAACGTTTTTTTTTTTTCCAGTAATTAGGTGTCAAGCCCAGTGCCCGAGGGTCACCACTGAAAACTCTTGGAAACCCTGGGATAGGAAAACCTCTGCACTCCATTCTTAGGGTCAAACTTATAGTAATGCTGTTGAACATTGAGCAATCTAATTGTTCACCAAGTCTCAAGTTATTCATTTTCCCGCTCTAAAACTTTCTGTGAGTCAAAACAAAGATCAGCACAAAACCTTTTTCTTGCAAGTGTCATGCCTTGTAATTTAACTAGCCTTTCCAACAACATGTGAATTCCAGGAAGGGGGAAGAACTGTCATCTTTCTTGTAGAAAACCCATTAAAAACTTCACACAGCAAGGAATTACTAAAGAATCAATTGGAATTTCTGCCAGATCATCAAACCCAGGGCAACATATCTGAATTGCCTAATCTCCACTATTTTCAAAGAAATTTCAGTATAAAAACCTAAGGAGTCTTGTAATATGAGTTCTTCACACTTCTGGATAAGTTCTAATACTTAAAAAAAAAATTGTGAGGAACAAGCATGAGGTTTTTTTCTTGTTTTTTAAGAAAGAACTGCAAATACAGAAGTACAAAACTAGGTGAAATGGACCAACTGCCAGCAAATACCAAACTAGCACCTCTGATCCATAAGATAGCATGAAAACATCTTCAGCATCAGAAGTTCTATACAAGTTTGGCCCCATAGCCAGATATATACGAAACTGCCAGAGGTAATGTAAACCAGTTTTAAGTTTCAAACAGAAGCATATAAAAGTTTTAAGAATATGTCAGCAACAAAAACAGAATCTATCTAGTATTTTTTAGATGAAGAAGTCTGATTCTGGCATATTGGGAATATATTAGCAGCAAAAAATTATATAAATACCAACCTCAAAGGCAAGACCAAGGATCTCCTGAGCCAAATATAGACAGTCATTGTGCATGAGAACAGCTGCCTGGTTAATGGTAGCAAGCTGCTTTTCTAGCTTCAAGAAATCAAAAGATGATATTATGACCATAGGGTGCTGTTTAATATGAGTAAAAAATTCAATCCCAAGAGTGCAGCAGCATATCTTGAGCCAAATAGAACAGCAAGGTAGTGAGGCTAGAAAACATGTTTAACAGCTAGGAAAACCCATCCTTCAGATCGATGGACATCGCTAATTGAAACCATGTGTTTACTGACCTTGACAGGTACGACAGCTTCATAAAGGAGACAAGCATCTCTAGCAGCATAATAGAATTCTAATCCAACTCTTGGAGATGACAAGCAGACATCCTGTTTGTAACACCACTATTAGTAACAACGACGCAGCATAATGCTATCTTGAATGACAAGCCAAGATTCCTAAACGGTGGTTTTACAGGAAGAGTTCAGGTTGATACGCACATAAAAGTAGCAAAATAGTTGAGGTACAAAATGGAAGGACAAATAACTCTCGTCTCCCTCCAGCCACTAGAAGAAGAAAATTTCTTCCCTCCCTCCCTCCCTCCCTCTCTCTCTCTCTCTCTCTCTCTGTATCAGTGTTTTTTTTCTCTCTCTCTCCCCATGTGTGCATGCGTTGTTTGGGGTTGTGGGGAGGGGTGGATGGCGGAGGACAGTTTGAGTAAGATGCAAAATAATGCATACAGCCCCAAGGAGTACCTCATGAGGTCATACTCCAGTCAACTATGTTTCATGAAATCACTCTACAAACAAAAGATAAGAAATTTCAATCTCTGATCTTCCAAGTTACCAAGTAACCTACAGGAGTTGGTTCTCAGTAACTTATAAACTGCTCTGAATCAGATCATATTCTTCTCAAGAGCTCTACTCAATCATGTAATTAGCTGTACTCTCCAGAAAGTAGCACAGCACTATGCCTGAATAAATTCAGTACCAACTTCCCAGAAACCACATCTTGACAAATATTATTTATCCCTGATTGCAAGGTATTACCTACTCTTACAGAATGGAATATTAAACTCAAGGTAAAACTTAGGTCATTTAAATCCTTTTAAGCAAATATTTACTACCCAAAAAAAAAGCATCTCCATAGCCACCTTTTCATTTCCCAGATAATTTATTCTTCAAAAGAAAATTTTTCCAGAGTACTTCATTATCATTACCAAGATGAGAGAATCAAACAGGATAATTGGATTAAGAATCCATGAAAAGATATTCTCAAAATGATCAGTACTCTCCCTTGCCCGACTTCATGTTGAAGATAATATCTTCTGAGTACTACTCTGGTTCAAAAATTGCTCAAATATACTTCACCATCTTACTAAAATGACCAGCACAAGAGAATAAAATGGAGCAATTTGATGAACAAGCCATCACAAATGCAAAGCAAGGAAGGTAGCAGAGAAGATGCAAATATAAATACGGAGCAGCTTTGACTCAGTGGATAAACTGATTTAACATGACTTTTCATAGATTTAGCAGAGATCAAATTATCCTTTCAGTCAACTCACCTTAAGGGTTTTATGCACCAGCTCCATCAAATTTAAAGCTGCTTCAGAAACAACACACCTTTCAGATGTAAAAAGCAAAGTGACAACACGATTGGAGAAATTTTCAGCAATTTCTTCATTTTCCGGTTCACTACTTATCCTTGTATGGTCCTACAGAGATTCCCATAGATAATCTCAGCTCCATGCTTCTAAAAGATCAAATGTCACTTAATATGATTTATACAACTCACTTGAGGAATAGTGAAGGCAGCTTGTAGAAGCATATATCGAGCTTTGGCTAAAATCTCAACCTTCTTCCTTGAAGCAAAGTGAACCTCAACATTGTTGGCAAATTCAGTTAGTCTTTCATCCTTGTTATCAGAGGTCGAAATGAACATCAACTCCTTTAAATCTGTCTCAAACTCTGAGGAAAGCTTCACAATTTTCTGAAAGTTGTCAAGTTTGGAAGCATCATCCGGGACAAACTGAAACCAAAAATAGCAAATCTCAGTATAACCCATACTGGAAAAAGTTTTACCCTGAGCTTGTGAAATTCTCACCCTACATAGGTAGTTACCTATATTTAACAAAAGGTGCACACATACACCAAGAGACACATACAATACTAACAATTGCATACTTATGTTTTCATACAGACGTTGATACACACACTATGCATGCATTCAGATGTTTAAACTTGAACTTTCTAATACTTTTTCATTATTTAATTAACAATCTTGAGGAGGCAAAAAAGACAACCAAGGTCCAACTTGAGACACCTAAGAATAAAGGCAACCAAAACATTAACAAAGACAAGCCAGATAAATCTCACTGAGACCAGCAATAATTTCCAAGACCAAAGAATAAGTGGGTTTACACAAACCTTGGCAAGAAACTTCGAAATGATCATATCTGACATCCTTGGCCACGTCAATCTTCCAAAACGGCGCATCCAGAGTCCATTTTGGAAGCAAAACGATTTGTTTATAAACATAACAATCTGAACTAGTGCAGAATAGACTGTTTCACCATCTAAACTGTTACTCTACAAATGAAAAATGTCAGATTCATGTAGAATCTATGAAAATTTTAACCTGCATAGTTTGAGAGATGCAAGTTGGGCATTTCTTACCATGAAAAAAGGATATATGATGTACCATTTTGAAACATAGAGTTAAACAAAAAGAATCTGGAATTGTACCATGTCATTTGTACATGAAACAATAGTAAGAACTGCCTCGGAGGTTGGCCCCTGGTCTTCACTAATTTCCTCCACAACTGAAACAGATGATCTACAACTAACTGCTCGAGCAATGATATGTTTGATCATTAAGTCGGCTACTCTTGCTAGCCCATAATCCAAAATGCCAACTGCCTAGTAAAACAACAATTACAAAATGAAACTGCTCCCCAAGTTTTGAAGTTCGGGAAGAGTTAAATATATGTAAATAGTTAATACTAGAGTAGCTTAGATTGCTTGATGTGTGAGAGTTTCAACTGCAGTAATTAGAAACCTGTTCCTGTTCCAATGTGGCACTTTAGTGCTTGTATGCTTGCCAATATCATATCTATATGGCCTCAGTATTCCATGAGGCATAACTCATAACTAATGTTTATGCTTTATAGTTATAAAGCAGATGCAATTCACAAATTGAAACAAGTAAACCAAAAACAAATAACAAAAGACCAAGACGGAGGGAGGAAGGGAGGGAGGGAGACAGATAGAGAAGCTGCAAACCTACATCCATGGCTTTCAAGACTGTATGAAGCTCAATCTTTTCAGCTCCATCCATGCCCAACCAATACTTTACACGAAATGAACTGCTATCCTGGTCAAATCTCACAGCACTCTCCACAAACCTCATTAGGGCTTCATGTAACTACAACCAAAAGTGATAAAATAGATGAGAATAATAATCCTCACAAACATTGCCATTGTCAAATAAATGTTTATCCCAAAAGAGGATAGTTCAATAAAGTATCATTTTTTATGCATCAAACTCTGGATAATTTCCAGACAATAAAGCATCTTGCATTTAATTCATTCAAGATAGCAGCTTATTAAGCTCTTAAATATCCAGATTAATCTTCACAGCATATAACTTTAATTTGTAGATACATCAATCCTATTCACAGGTTTTAAAACAATTGCTAAACTTCACAATTTTTAACTGATCTGATAGGTACACAAATATAACCAATAAAGAGTGATTCAAAACAACATAAAAGAAAATTTGCTACCTTGTCAAAACAGTCAGCCCATTCTTTCCTTAACAGTCCATATGCCAACAGTTGACTTTCTTCATCTTGTGCTGCAGCTGCTTCATCATTATGCACATGTAAAGCTGTCTTCAGTTCTCTGAGGGCCACTGCAGCCTCTTCAACTCTACCAATTCTGATATCCTCCTTCACAAGTCTCAATTTCTCGCACAATTCCAAAATTAGCCCCAACAACTCCAACACTTCCCTCTTCTCCCTTACCTCTTTCCTCTTTGCAACCATTTCTTCAATAACCGACTTGATTTTGGTGTCAACAGGGTGGTCTGAGATTAGATTAAGTATATTAAACAATTCACTTGAGAGCTGTTCAGTCCTGGTAACAACGTCAGAGCATTGAGAGAAGAGGGAAGAGAAGTCCAGTTGGTGAGATCGGAGGTAGTCATGGACTTTTGATTTAATGTGGAGAGAGCGGACTTGCAGGCGGTCAATGAGGAGATGAAGATCAGGTGTGGATAGTGGGGTTGAGGGGTCATCTAGGTCTGGTGTTGAGAGAAGATCTCGGATATCTATTGAATTGAACAGTACATCCATTAAGGGTCTGGGTCACCGGATACCTCACTTTTTCTTTTGTTCTCTTTTCCCAGGGAAAAAAAACTGGTCAGGGTTTTGGTAAAGGTAAATATTCCAGTGCAGAGGGTTCTAAACAAAACACCTGATCAATCAATATGTACTGTCTGTTCAATTTCCAAGAGCTAACCGGACACTAAACTTCATTAGCCTCTGGTGTTAAAGCCAGTAAGAAAATCAATCCATCCTCCTGAAAAAAAGCAATAGACGTTAGGGATGATACATAGGTGTAGGGGCTTACTAAAACAACTTTCAAGATCCAGAAGAGCCATTTAATTTGTAGTATTAAAGGAAACAATAAAATTCTAGGCAGTTAGTTTTCAATCCCAGGATTGAATGGTTACATGGAAAATTCTCATAAACACTCAGTAACAGTACACTGTATATCACATACACGGGATAATGATATGTGTTTGCAACACCAAACTGTGTTCAGATGGCAAAGTGTTATGAGGAGCTTCATACGCACTTAAACCCCTGTGACTGGATTCGAGCTAGGCCTAGCACTCAAAATGTCAATAAAGATGCTAACACTTAAAGAGAAAAAAAGACAAAGAACCTACAATGTAAATTAATCCCAATCAAAGATAAACTTCAGCAGAATGAGATAGAATACACCAAGTCTTCATCCTTACAAATATAACATGAAGCTCCACAAGTGCCTACAATTTGCTGATTTCATTCAGGCCATACTAAAATACAGGAATCCGTCCTCAAACACGACGAAACACAGACCAACTATTGCACTAACAGAACTCATTGTCAATTTCTTTTTCAACCAAAGAGGTGAAGAGTATAAAACGAACATCACAAAAACTAACTGAAGAAACATGTGAAACTGCATTAACAACTAACTGATGCTAATTCATACATATCACCAATAAAATATTCATTGATTTTAGCTACTGCCTGGAGATGAAACTACTATTTCTGGACAAATAAAAACCCAGAAAAGTACATGAATTTTCAAAATAACTATGAAAACAAAACAAAAGGAACATGTAACTAGAACAAGAAGTAAGTGAGTATCAGCTAACTAAGTTGAACAAGAAACAATTACATTCCAATACTAACCTCAAAATTCTCCAAATGAATGTGCAATTACTGGCTAATCACCTGAATTGAACGACACCCTGATCCTGAATTTGGCAAGTAACAATCTAGATCAGCCCAAGATTACGACAGAAAAATTACTTCTTGTACATCAATTAGTTTTGAGGTATGTGCTGAGAGAAGAAAGCGAACGTGTAAGGATGATACACCAGGAGTAGCAGAAAGAGGGGAAGGTAGGAAGGAAGAAAAGGCCCGGTAGTGGACTAGAGAGATGGGAAGATTCCGGCAGAAAAGGGTCGGAGAAAAGAGACCGACCGGCCGAAGTGGTGGTGGCCGGAGGAGAAAGGAGGTGGTGGAGGAAGGTATTGCTTGTGGAACGTCGTTATTTATTTGAGTGAAATGCTTAATTTCAAATTGTCCCCCATAATTAAGAAAATAGCAAATCAACCTCGACTTTCATGAAACCTATACATTGCACCCCATACTTCATTGTAGTAAATATCTCGAAGAAAATTGGAACCATCCGAAAAAGTTGTCGTGTAATCTTTTTTACATTTTTTTTTTCCTTTCATAGTGTATTATTTGAGGCCGACTCACTTGATTAACCCCTAATCGAAAGAAATAATCATGTAATCTTTTTTTTTCTTTTTCTTTTTCTTTCCTTTTTCATCTTTGTTATGTTTAGATTTTTCTTTATTCCTTTCTCACTCCTATATGATCAATATGTCCAAAAGAATTTCTTTTTAGTGCTTAAAAATAAATTACAATTTTCTTATGAAAAAAATACTATTTTTACTATGAATTCCTTGTAATGCATTAATTGTAATAAACATAGGAATTAAATATTTATTTTAGTGATGCGCTTTTATTTTTTTCTTCTATCTTCTTTATCTTTTAAAATTTCTTTTGGCACTTAGATATATAACGTTATTTTCCGTGAAAGATGTTTAATTATTTTAAATATCATAAGAAATTTGTTTGGTATGCGGCCAGCATATTATACTTGGTTTCCTTATACTATATAAGTATGAGTTGTGATCAAATATTGCATTTAAATTTCAACTGCAAAGGTAGGAGTATTTTGGGATTGTGAGGGGTTTCAAGTGTGGCTGTAGCGTGGGTAGAACTTATGGTAGAATGCGTTTTCTTTAGTTTATTTAAATGCCCTTATATTCATTTAAATGCATCATTGATATGTTCAAAGTTTAAGGGTATTTTGGAAATGTAAGACTATTTTGATCGTCTTTTGAGTAATAGATACAAATTATGATGGTTTTAGTTTTGCTACAATTACTTAGATATCCTTGGATTCATTTAAACACTCTTGGGTTGTCTTGCGAGTTAAAAGAAGCAATTATTAGCCATTGTTAACTATGAGAATTTCAAGAGAGTGTTATTGTGTAAGGTGTTATATTAGCAATTAGTACTTTGTTTATTGGTTTACACTAATACCCTTACTAATCTATTTTAGAAAAACCTAGCTTGCTAGGAAATTTAGTGATTTATTTAGTACGAGTTATATGTCTGAGCATCAATTTGAATAGTTACTGAAACTTATCCAAATTGTTCCTTCTTCACATTCTTTTTTTTTTCTCGAAATGTTAAATTACTTATATTGATCTAAAAGATGACTTTACAATTCGAGCAACAGCTCGTCAAGCTGTAAAACTTGTGTTCAGCAACACAGAGGAAAACATCCTTCCTCATCTATCAAAATGCCTAAGGCATATGAGCTAACATTAGCAATAGTGTTACTATTATCATTACTATTTAAGCAAAAAGAGCACATTCGAAACAACGACATTAAGCAAAAAATATCCTCTAGGATCGTTGCCAGCCTGCCATCCGATGATTTACCATACTTGATTTGTCTTAACACTTCCTTGTGTTTGGAGTTGTATTCGAACATTGCACCATCCTTTTTCTAGCGTTTTGCACAAGACTAGTCTGACTGCTGAAGTTACATCTATATTCTTGTTTCCATAGCTTCTGTCCTTTAATGCCTAGAATTCTGTTGTATCATGTGACATTGTGTTGAGAGCAGCTCCAACACCCAACAAAGCAGGTCTCAATAAGCTCGTTGTTGTCACTCTCAGCCTTATCAAATCCTGGTCCTCTTGTACCTCATGTTCCCCATCCAGGTCTGGCTTGTACTCTGATCAGGTTCCTTCCTATTTACTTCCTCCATCTCCAACCATTCTTTATGTGCTTTTTTGAATAACATAGCATGGTTGGTGTCTACCTTGGTTCTCAAATTCCCTCTTGTTCCTTTCTTTCCAAATGTGTCATAAGATGTTTGCAGTGAGACCAATATGGCTGTTACCCTCTTGCCTTGTTTTAGCTTCTGTGATCCTGCTCCACCACCTTGTGAAGTTGCATCTCTGGTTTTTGCTCCATCCCACACAACTTGAGCTACTTTCCAGACATCATTTGCTAAGGGGCATTGCAAAAGTGTGTGTTCTATCGTTTCTGGCTCCTCTCCGCATCCCTTGCACACTGGATCCCCAATTGCAGCTTTCCTGTGGATTGCCTCTCTGACTGGTAGCGCTCCATTAATACACTTCCAGATAAATACCTTAACTTTGTGTTTGATGTTGAGCTTCCACAGTGTATTCCAAATTTGATTGCTTTGATTACTGCCTGCATCAAAACTAGTTCCAACAGATTCCTGCCCTTTATTGCTGCCTGATCTCTCATCTAAGAACCTTTTGTAACTAGATCTCACTATATACTCGCCTCCTTCACTGTGTTTCCAGTAGTTGGAATCCGCTCTACCTGCAAGACTAATTAGAATACTGAGAATCCTCTCTGCATCAGTCTTGTTGACAATCTGAATATTACATTTGTGTTCCATCTACTTGGTTGATTAGCTTATGTACAAAAACAAGCTCACATTTTGGGGGTCTTGGAGTTGTAGGCAGACGTAATGGAGAAGTTGGTATCCATTTATGCTCCCATATGTTTGTGCCTCTCCCATTGCCAATTCTCCTCCTTATTCCTTCTTCCACAATCCCTCTGACATCCATCAGTCCTTTCCAAAACCAAGATGCATTACCCTGAACTTTACAAGTAAAAATTGATTCCTTTGGAAAATACTTGGCTTTCAATACTTTGCTGACTAGGAGATTTGGTTTGGTGATTAATCTCCAAACCTGTTTTCCTAGTAGAGCTTTGTTGAAAGCTTCTAAATCCTTAAATCCTAAGCCACCTTCCTGTCGATCCTGAGCCATTCTCCTCCAAGATATCCAGTGCATTTTGTTTTTGCCATTCTTTTTCCCCCCACCAATAGTTGGCCATAGCTGAGTTGATATCCTTGAGGAGTTTCCTAGGCAGTTTGAAACAAGACATAACATAGGTTGGCATAGCCATTGTGACTGCTTTGATCATAACTTCCTTTCCAGCAAGGCTTAGCAATTTATTCTTCCAACTTTCCAGCCTCCTCTTTATCTTATCTCTTATGTAGCCAAAAATCTGCTCCTTTGTTCTTGAAATAACCATAGGAAGACCAAGATATTTCCCTTGCTTCACTTCTGCCATTTCTCCTAAAGCACTGCAAATCTCCTGTTTCTGTCTACATGTCAAATTTTTGCTAAAAACACTGATGATTTCTCCAGATTGATTAGCTGTTCTGAGGCCTGTTCATAATCTTGGAGAATCTTCATGAGTTCCTTAGCTTGTTGCACATCAGCTCTACAAATATAAGAGAATCATCCGCAAAAAAGAGGTGAGTTATGCTTGGACCTTGTCTACTGATCTTCAGGCCTTTCGGATTTTTGCTTTCTGCTGATCTTTGGAGTAGATTTGAGAAGCCTTCTGAGCAGATCAAAAACAGGTAAGGTGAGAAGGGATCTCCTTGCCTTATTCCTCTTCCTGGCTTTACAAAGCCTTTGACTTCCCCATTGCAGTTGAAAGAGTAAGAGACAGTCTCCAAGCATCTTGATATCCAGCTTACCCATTTATCATAGAACCCCATTCTTGTCATCATGTCTCTAATAAAATGCCATTCAGGTCTATCGTAAGTTTTAGTCATGTCTAACTTGATAGCCATATACCCTTCTTTCCCTTACCTTTTATTTTTCAGATATTGCATATATTCCTGAGCAATGATCACATTATCTAAGATTTGTCTATCTGGTATGAAGGCAGATTGATTTTTACAAATGCACTTGTCAAGAACAGGTTTCAGTCTGTTTGCCAAAATTTTTTATATGATTTTATACAAGACACTACACAGACTGATTGGTCTATAGTTTTTCAAGCTAATTGGATTCAGAATTTTTGGAATGAGGGAGATAATTGTATGGTTAATAGATTTAAGTATGCAGCCAGTCACAAAGAAATCTTGGACAGCTTGAACCACATCATTTTTAATCACTTTCCAGAATTGTTGGAAGAACAGTGGAGTCATTCCATCCATTCCAGGGGGCTTTATCTGGATTCATGGAAAAAATAGCAGTCCTGATTTCCTCCTCATGCACTGGTTTTGTCAATTTGGAGTTCATTTCCTCAGTAATAGAGTGTGGGATACCCCTTAGTACCTCTGAATTATCTTATTTCCTCCATTGGTAAAAAGGCTCCTATAGAACATGGAAATCTCATAAATTAGATCTTCATCATTTTTTGTCCAAGTACCATCCTCTCTTTGAACATTACAGATTCTGTTTTTGTTTCTCCTCCCTCTCATATGAGCATAAAAAAACTAGTGTTCTTGTCTCCCTCTCTTAGCTAGTTCACTCTAGTTTTTTGGCTCCAAAAAGATTCGTCCTCTTTATATGCCTCTTTGAGCCGTTCCTTAAGGTCAGATCTGATCATCCTTTTGTTCTCCACATTTGACACATTCAAGCTCTCTAACCTACTCTTAATGTCATTGATTCTTACTTTGGAGTTTGCCTGGAAAGTGTTTTTCCATTTTAGGAGATCAATTCTGAAATTCTTCACTTTCCTGATCACTCGAAACATTTTAGTTCCTTGTTCCTCCTTGTTCCAAGCTTTCTCAATAACTTGTTGTATACCTTCCTTTTGAATCCATCTCTTATCAAAGTAAAAGCGTTTCCTCTTTTTCCTTTTATCAGGTTCAGTATCCAGCAAAAGCAGGCTGTGGTCAGAAGCAAAGAACTCTATATACTGACAGACTACTCCTTTAAACTTTTAAACCCACTCATAACTACTAAGGCATCTGTCAAGTCTTTGCCTAACCTCCCCAACATTGTCCCAGAGATTACTCCAGGTCCAAGAATGTCCCTCGAAACCTATGTCTACCAGCCTATTCTCAGCAATGAAATCCTTAAACGCCTTAAAGTTCCTTTCCTCTCTCATTAAACCCCCCCATTTCTCTTCATTTGACACTATGTCATTGAAGTCTCCTGCTATCACAAAATTCTTCCCCCACAGTTTCCTTCTAGCATCCAGGACTTGCCATTGTTGTTTTCTGATTTAAGCATCACAGCTTGCATACACTCCTGTGAACCACCATTCATCTTGAGTTTCTCTCCCCCCTATCTTAGCTTCTACGGTGAAGGCAATTTGTAGGGTAGATAAGACTTTGACGTCATCTCTCCACAGAAGGCACATGCCTCCTGATCTATTCATGGCCTCAGTCACCACACTATGTTCAAACCTAAGCAAATTTTTAACTTTATCCATATACTTCTCCCTATTCTTGGTTTCACTAAGGAAAATCAAACCTGGAAAGAGGAGGTTGTTGACCTCTCTCAAGTGGGGAATTGTCAAGAGGCTCTCCACTCCTTGACAATTCCACACCACAATCCTCATATTTCCTTGGAGGCCCTATTAGGGAAGGACCTCACCTCTACTTGATCAGTTTCTAGCACAACTATCATTTCAAAGGATTTTGATTTTTTCCCCTTCTAATTTTCACTGTCTTCCTCCTCCATATCCTTATCCTTCAGACAAACTTTCCTCTTCCCCAATCTTGTTTGATTACTCCCTTGTTTATTCAGTTCTCTTAAGGGTCTTCTAGTTTTGATGGGAGAGAGCACCTTTCTAGTCAACCTTTTAGTTTGCTTATTGATTGCCTCCTAGACTCTTTTAGAAATGTTACTAGTCTCCTGTCTCTATTCCCCCTCTCTCGTGTTCTATCTCTAAAGATCCAGACTTATCATCAAAAGAAGCTGCTACTGCTTTATCTTCCTCCATCTCAGCAATTCCTTCCATTGACACGTTCGCAGCATTTTCTGTTCGCTTTTTGTTCATCTATTCAACCTGTATTCCATCACCTTGTACTGGAAGATCCTGCTGATTTTGGGAGCTGTCTATCTGCACTAGGCTTTGAGGGTGGGGGGCTTGATCAGTAATTATCCTCATCCCATTCAAGTTTCTAGCTAAATCTTGGTGGTCATTATCAGTCCTCACCATAGGTCTACGTAGCTCTTGTTGGTTTTTTTCAAACAGATTTCTCGAATGAGTTTTTTCAACCAATTCCCCACTCTCAAACTTCCAATACCATTTATCTTTATCCAGATCATATCTTTTTTGCTTTTTTTGTGGTGATCCTTTAAAATTCCCTGCCCTCATCCAAGAACCATACTGATTATCTACATATTCCCCTGCAATTTCTTGCTAATTGGTGCATGTCCTCTCCCCATGACCAACCAGACCACAGTTATAACAGAAATCTAGGCATCTTTCGTACTTGAAAGCTACCCATTTCATGGTACCTTCAGTCTTCACTATGGTGCCTCTTAGCAGGGGTTTTGCCAAGTTTACTAAGGCCAATATTTTCAAATATCTACCCTCTTTTCCTCCCATCTGTGGTATTATAACATCCTTTACTTGTCTGAATACACCCCAATCTTACGACCTACTTCTCTGGTCACCCAATGTACAGGTAAATTCCAAACTTGTACCCACAAATAGGCTAGCTTAAAGGCCTCTGGATTCCTTTCTATACCTTCCTCCCACCTGTTCAGAACCAAAATTTGGTTATCTATCACCCATAGGCCTCCGTCCACTATCCTCTCTTTTTCCTGTGAATTAGGTATGTTAAACTGGAAAAGATTCGGTCCCTGTTCTAAGACAGACAAGTGTTTAGGATAACCCCAGGCTATAGAAAAAATTTTTTTACTCCTGTGTAGCTAGCAATCTTTTCACCCATAACTCTTCCTATTATGCTGTCCTTACATTCTTTGACTCCACTCTCTAGGTCCCCTAAGTCCAGAATAGCTCCTGAGAGTTCATTTCCAGCTAGAGAGAACTTTTGCATCATCTCATTTAGTTCCATCTCCATCGATACAAACAGAGGTACTAAGGGATTAAAAAACACTCTAGAAAGAGAAAAAAACAAAGAAAAAGACACCCACCAGACGCAACTGAGAAAATCTACAGAGATGCTAGAGGTTCAGAATGCCGAGCAAAAAGAGCTCTCAACTTCTAACCCCAGCTGATAGTAACTTTGGAAAACAACAGTAGCTAGCAAAAACAGACAGTTTGAGGTGAAAGGACAGATTCTCTCACCCAACCAGACGCAAGGAAAAATACAAAGAAAAAGTCAGAAAAACATGCAATACCTCAACAGTCGTAGTAAAAGCAAGGGAAATAGGGTATTGCCGTCAAGGTTAACTTGGCTTTCCACTTCATAAATGCTGTTCTCCTCTTCATTCAATTACGTTGATGATTCCGCAAGCCATCAAGATCAGATTTTGAGTTGCATTAATCATTTAGGGTAGATCCTAAAGCTTCTATCTATTTTTGGAAAGAGAGAATTGAAGTTTGGAAGAGTTTGAAATTTTGAAACTCTTCTGAAACTCCCACCAATGGAGCAAAGAGGCACTTATCCCAAGAGAGAGAAATCTTCTACTAGAGAGAGAAAGACCTCTACTTGAGAAAGGAAGTTTTTTTCCCTCCTTCACATTCTTCCGTTGTCTTCTTTTTGCCTTCACCTATATGCTTATTTGTACTATCATTGTACTCTTAGTTTCACAAAGCTACTCTTGGTGGTTCACTTTGAGGTGCTTTCTATGTTTTCTTTTTTTATATGTGAGATTTGTCTTGTTAAATCATAGTTTCAATTTTAAATTGAATGCTTTGATTCTCAAAACTAGATACTTTTTAAGCATAATTTAGGGTTGAAATTATTGTTTCCCAACAAATGTAGTTATTTTATATAATTTAAACGGTTTAGGGCAACTATGAGAAAAGGTTTATTGGGAGTATTTGGAATAACACAAGCAACTCTTCACTATTATCGCTGAATGTTACAAATTATTTAGCTATACATGTACTTAGTTGCACAATTTATTTTGGTGGCAGTTACTGCTTTGACTCAACGATTTGCTTTGGCAAAAAAGTTGATTTATTTATGTGTTTGCTTGTATGTTTGATTAGTTTATTACTGGAACCACTTGAGTTAGATGTGCATGATGCTATGGTTGAAGCCAATTATGGCTTATGTTAGAAATTTGTGTTATTATTATTTAGGTATTTCTTGTGAAAATTGCTTTTATCTCTGGTTATTGCTTAGGATCTATGGTTATTGCAATAAAAAAATGACTACATTAAGTAAAGGTAACAAGTTAGAAGAGCAAAACTGGCATTGTAATTAATGAAAAAGCAAAGCTAAAGTTTAGTTTACTGACTAAGGAACAAAAAGAGCTTGAGAAGCAAGAGTGCGAGATGCTTATAAGAGAAGAAATGATAAGAGTATTTATTGCAGTTGATAGAGGGATATACATATAAAGTCTAAGTTTAATAAGAGAATCATTCAATATGATCAGATTAATAACATGTCTTCCGTGCATGATCGGTGTGTATTTAGATAATGAGGGTCAAGCTAACAAGTTGTCATTACACCAACCTTTAAGAATCGATGATATACACAACCTAACAAGAATAGTGCATGCAGGACAAGTAGAATGCCTTTGTGTAGAAAGTAATGACACATCCGACAACTTTTAGTAGGCTAATATATTAACATCTTCATTTTTAGATGTCAAAGATTACTCCAAAGCAGGAGGCAAATGCAAAACTCATGTGACTGAGTTTTCAAATTACCACAATGTTATCACTGAAACCTATGAAACTATGCAAGAA